CCACTTTATAAGCAAATAATCTGATTTTATAGTTTGCTATATCTATGGAACAAATTCCGTGTATTTTAAATGTATGACAACAATTTTCTTCAATTACTCACATATTAAGCAAATTGATGTGGTTTCTATTTAAAGCTAGTATATTGCTTTGGGGTTAGTTATTTTGATGCATCTCGTATTCAATTTGCAGGGTAACGGAATTCTGCTTTATTTTGCATTGAACAAGGCGTGCAGAAAAACTAACAGCTCCATTCCTCCATACCCATCACTTGTATTATCGTACGTGGGTTTCGCTGTTTCGCATTTCATTGTAAACAAACAATTAATTTGAACTTTAGTGTGAATATTATTGATGGCAAGAACGAAATTTGAAAATTTTGATGCTGAAAAAATCCGATACAACTTAATACCGAACGATCCTCGATATCTTCGCACATACATCATTTTTACACCACACCCTAAGGGATTGATTCTGTCTCACCAGATCAGTATAGCTTGTAAATCAAATTTTTGAATCGGCATTATTTTTACTTTTATTCGACATCCGTATATACAAGATTTCATGCAATTCGGTTCATAATTAACGGAGATGTCAAAAAATCGGATTGCGCATGGGCAAACCAAATTTTTTAATCCACATCAGTTTTACTATTATTTGCTACATCACAAATTTCATTTAAATACCTTAACAGATAAAAAAAATGGAGATTGCTCAAATACAAAAGTTGGGTTGCGCATGTTTGTATATGTTGCTCGCGTTAAGTCGTATGTGACGTCACCAACGGACCTAGTTGTCAGAATTCACTGTCATAATCTGCTGAGTTGTAAATATTTGTGCATCAGTGTTATAAATAACAGTTTCAGGTGTTTGGCATTGACTATTGTACAACAAAAATGCCAGGACGCCGATGTGCAGTATTTGACTGTAATAACAGCCGTATTTCCACCAAAATTACGAATCCAGAAATCATATATCATAACTTGTTACAAGGATGTAACGATTTATTTTCTTCATTACAAAGCATTATTAGTGTTCACGGTTTATTACTTCTGGAAGTAATTTGATAGATGGCCCCATCTATTTTTGGAATTGAACAACGCAATTTTACCGGGCAGTGCGTGTCGCTTTTAACTTTATTTCTTTCTTGAACGTTGCACTTTGTTTAAACAAACAGCTGAAGCGTGACGTTGAACGCATGGAATTTTAATCGCTAACTATATATTGATATCTCGCCAAGGGCAACTCGCCAAGGCGACAACTCGCAAATGCGACAACTCGCCAACGGACGACTCGCCACTGCGACAACTGCAGAATATGTCGTTATATCAAAATGCAGTAATAGAAACAGGTATAGGCGGTTGGGTCTTCATTCAAATATGTATGGGACATTAAACAAGGAAAAATAGTTCGTTGGTGAGTTGTCGCATTGGCGAGTTGTCGCGGTGGCGAGTTGTCCCGTTCGCTAGTCGGTCGGTGGCGAGTCGCCCTTGGCGAGTTGACCGTGTCCCTAGTTCCAAATCAAGCTCCAGACCAAAGATCTGAATTGCTGGAAAAATTAAGATCATTGCGAATGAGATTTCCCGGAATTTGTATTGAAAGTTCTTATATTCCTATGTATGATGACAAAAGTTGGTGAAAAGAAATATTTAATTTTAATTTGAATTTCCCACGGTTTGAAACAGGCGTACCTAGTATTTACATTCTATTTTATTATAGGATACCCTCGAAGTTCTGACTGCTTTTTTCTGATATAATGAAAGCAAATAAGGCTGAATTAGCTAAAATCATTTCTCACTTTTTTTGGTAAAACGGTTCCGTGAACCATCCTTCATATCGTATCAAGTCATATGTTCAAACCACTAGTACGATAATGTAAATTGATAAAAAGCAAGGAGGAAGGAAAACCACAGAAAAGGTATTACTAAGTGCGGTAGTCGTCCTTTGTAACTTTCAAATAATTCTAAATGTGAATTGAGCAATTCGAGTAATAGGTATATTGTCAATCAAGTTGTAATTCGAGTACATTTGAGTTTTTGAAGGACAGACCCGTGGTTTTCTAAAATTAATCTAAGCTCAGGTGTTTTGTTCCTAAATAATTACTCAACGAGCTGAATACCACATTCCATGCATTCTGTATACTATAAAATCGTGTAGAACGTTTGTTTCACCGTCATATCAGCTATAGTGAATAGAAGAACCTAAGTTTGTTATAATTAGCTTCCTAGCATGTGCTAGGTAGCTATTGCGATAGCCGTTTTTTGAACATTTCAAAATTTCATCAAATGTCGACGTTTTAGACCATTTTAAGCAACTTTTAAAGAATAAAATTTTTTTCCGTCCGTACGTACGTACGTTTGTTGGCAATTTTCTGAGAAAACGGCTCGACGGATTTTGTTGAAATTTTGTATATATGTTTTAGGCATACCGAACAGAAAAATAACGGGGCGGATTTTTGAAAAGAAATTTTGGAGCGCCGTAACGGCATCGAACTTTTTTTTTCAAATAGCAACCTAAAATTTTTATTCTATTATTTGGAAGACCTTATTTTCCTGTGTACAACCTACAAAAAATTGGGCCGGGTTATATTATCAAAAAACGGAGAAAAAAATTGTCAAAGTCAAAAAATTGTGTTGCATATGTGCAAAACGCAACGATCTTGTTTCTGAAGCAATTTAAACGAAATTTCTATGGTAAACAAAATTCATGCGCAAAAATCGTGTTGTGCATGCGCAGAAATGCAATTTTCTTATTTATGGAACATTAGCCTCCTAGCAATTTTTGGTTTCAGCTAGGAAGCTATTCTGTCAAGAATTTGACACCTGGTTTTTTCTACCGAAAAGAATACAAATAAATAGATTTTTGAATAGTTCGTAACTTTAAAACATCATCAGCAACTATTTTTCAACAGGTGCCGTTTACTGGAAAATATTGTATACAGTGTATTAACATTGGTTTATACATTTATACAACTTTTAGTTTTTCAATAGTCGATTCAAAATTGTTTACGTTATGTGGGATACCCTAAAATTTCATTTTGTAAAGGTTGCAAGTCCTAATAATCCCAACGATCTCAATATACCTACTTAGTAAGTAATCTCAAGAATCTGAGGAATATGAGGAACTAATAGGATAAGATACAATCCTAGTGTAAAAAACTCAATAATTTCAAGAATCACGAAAATCGCAATAACTTGAATAACTTAAAGATCTCTAAGAATCATTAACTGCAGGATGGCACCCCTTTCCCATTAAGGGCAAAGTCTGCATCAGTTACAAAATTGGAATTCCTTCTTTATTGCTTATTTATGAACCAAACATATACAGGAATGGAACTAGTAGTATTATCTAGGCCTTTCTTTGTATTCTCAAATGACTGACAGGATGCCTGCCGATTATGTCTGTTTATTAGTCCAGCCATTTATTGCCAAAAAACGGCAAATAGAAAAAATAGTTCGTGTAGTTCCAATTCTTTCGAGAATGTATGGTTGAAGTTCCCTTCATGATCGTCTAATAAAGTCTCAAGCGATTTCGGTGTCGTCGGAGCGAGCGGAGGGTGTTGAAGGTACAGTTTTGTGATTTTTCGGTTATATCTCGAAAACGGTGGATCGTAGGAAAAAAACTGTCTTATCAAAATCGAGAGCTCGTAAAATTTTGTACAACTTTGTTTTTATACCGGGTGGTGCACGGTAAGTAGGAACATAGGGATTTAACATGGGAAATTAGTTTTATGCAATATCCTGCCCTCCTATACAATTTACAGAAAAAACTGTCGAGTTTATTTATTTATTTATTATCCCTCTCTTGTTCTGGGCCCTCAACAGTCTTGCGCCCAATTACAGAGTGACCCGATAATAGTTTAAAGTTGTTCAGAATTAAAAGGTGCATACATAACTGTTTTTGTCATGTTTTATTAAGCTTTTGATGGTATACCCGCAAATTTAAAAATAAATTTCAACATTTCTGTTATTAGTAGCAATAGCCATGACTTTTGTTGTTTTATGAATTGCTACTAATAACAGAAATATTGAAATTTATTTAAAATTTGCGGGTATACCAAAAGCTTAAAAAAAGATATAAAAACAATTTTGTTCGCACTTTTCAATTCTGAACCACTTTAAACTCTACAGTGTTTTCTGTAAAATGTACAGAAGGGCAGGATATTGCATAAAACTAATTTCCCATGTTAAATCCCTCTTCCTACTTACCGTGCACCACCCGGTATACCTATTTTCCACACAAAGCAGTTTTGCAGCTACGGGCTCTTGAAGGTTAGCAATTTAAAAAAAATTGTTCCTTTTGTGAATAGTTGTAGAGAATTAAATTTAATTTTATTTATTAATTATTTATTATATTATTATTATAATAATTATTAATATTTAATTAATTTAAATTAAAATGAAGTAATATTTTCGTGAGCTAATTGTCAAATTTCAAATTTGTGTGGTAGAGTACGAAAATATGACAAATTGACGTCTTAATTTCAAGTTTCTCGTTTTTTTCTTCCAGACGTTCCAATCTCCCTTTGCGAGTAACTTTTTCCGGGCCTCCGCTCTGGAGATATGGGGAAATAAAACCGATTACGAAAAGGAATCGAGGAGAAGGGCTCTGGTTGATAAAAATTGATTTCTTTCATTGAGACCTTTCATTAGCGTACCATATGGAGGATAAAAACCCATTCCTACCCTCCTTGGCGATTAGGTATCATATAAAACCAAAAATAATGTTCAACTCTTTTTCTGGGGATACGGTCATTGAAAAACTCACCCGGAGGCGGCCGTATTATTTATAATCTCTAAACTTGCCATTCCTATTTGGTCACCTCATAAACATTAATTTTGTATTATAAACCACCATAAAGGGAAATCAACCATCATTATCCATTATTTCACTCGATGTTAAGATATTGCTTTATCGGATATTGCGGATATGTTTGCAGATAACCAATGAAACTTTGTTTGAGATGTTGAATTGTTTTACCATACGATCCTAAACGTGATTTTTGTGAAGTATTATGTGCTAACATTTCCTACAACCGGAGTATATAGAACAGGTTAGTGCATCCGTTAACCTACTCGTAAACTCAAAACGAGCTGCTATATTCTTTTCGCACTATAAATTCCCGTTTACCACTAAAGAATTTAAACGATCAGGCTTGATTGCTTTGGGTATAAAAGGCACCAATACTCGCAAACGATTAAACAGAAATCGTCGAACTTCAGCGCAAAGATGAAGGTAAGCTTAATGTCTATATGGACCAGTTAATTTTTGTAACTGTTGCTTTGTTTTAGGCTATCGTTGTATGTGGTATACTAGTCGTCTTCGCTGTATATTTGTTTCATGTGCAAGCAGGTAAAATGGGTTTAGTGTGCAGTGTGGCCTGTAAGGCTTGGAATGCTTGTCAAGCACAGGTTGCGTTGACTGGAGGTCTTCCAACCTGTGGACCAGAACCTTCGGGGTGCGTTTGTAAGAAGTTCCCTTGGTCATAACTCGTAACACAAGCAAAATATACAATCGTTTACCTTCACTTTGTTACTACGGCGTTCAATTTGACTATAAAACGGAACGGCGGAATTCTACAGGATCATAATGTATAAAAAGGAACTGATTTATTTAATTTTACTACAAGATGTGTAGATCTGTGCTACAAGTATACGTAGATGCTAGTCGTCGTCATTCATTCAAATCGTTGGAACTGCTACGCGGGCGGCACGGGTTCGATTCCCGATCGATACAGATTTTTTAATTCTGTATATTAGCATGTCTACATTTCGCCGATCGTTCACGTAGGATGTGACACTGGCCCGTAGGGGCTGGTTTTCTAGTAATAATTTATACTATAAGGATTTCATTTTGCAACGAACCGACCTTTATAATTTGTAATTTTGAAAACAAATAAATTGTGAAAGGGCGTTTGATGGCTAATTTTATATTGGGATTTGGCGTTCTGGGATTGAACAAAAAAAAAAGAATTCGCCAACCACTCACGACGAAACTGGGTACATTGATTAGGGCCGCGTTTGTGCCGACAGCAAAAACGTTAAAACCGGATTGGTTTTATCTTTCAGATTTTAAACATGTACGTACGAATATCTCGAGATCTGAGTGTCCGGTGTCGAAGGAGAACGTAAAATGTAAGGTCTGAGGAGACATATCTTTTGAGGAGTGCGAATATCTACAAAACGGAGTGTCGGAGGAGGGTACTCGCAAAGAGCGATTAGAACGTTTATAACATTTTTGTACCAATGATGTGTGTTTGCGCGACCGTTCCTTTATCCTCCTGTCTGTATATCAACGTTTCATTTAAATTGTGGTGAGCGAGTAGCCCAGCGGGAGTATTCTTGACAGCAATTTCCCAAAGGCGAATTTTGTCACAGAACCCAAGAATGACTTCTGATGGCGACCCTCCGGAGGTGAGCGCACCTGAAGACCACTATTCCATGGACAAGTTTTCTTAATCTCGATCCTTTGTGGGGAGAAATAGACTGAGTATGTTCGACGTCCTTAAAATGTTTCTTGAAAAATCATCTTTTGAGATCCATAGAATGAGTACCTAGCGGGATTTACAAACACTTTTAACCACGACTTTTGCAATTCTATTTACGGTACTGCACTTCAATATATGATTGATGATTGAAGATTTCAATAGAGGTACACTACGTACTGCACGTAATATTTTAGTGTTTTATGGATTGGTTACTCTGTTCGCGCACCATTAATACATTTATAAGACTTTAATTGTTGTAAACTTTTATGATATATCTACGTCAAAATTTTGCAATGAGGTAGGTACACACGCCAAATCTTCAGTTTCTTTACTACTGTACGGCAAGCACATCTTACAAAAGTATGAAGGTTTGTTATATACTACTCTTTAAACTAAATCATCAATCCTACATTTTTCTATAGCATCTTTACGTATTATCTTCATTGGTGATGCTGCTGGGATTTACGGTTCACGTAGCCAGTGACCTCGAGGCAGAACTCACTCTGGGGTGTACATTATCTTGCCCTTTATGGGGTATATGCCTAACTGCAGCTTTGATATTAGGAAATGATTGCGGAAACGAGCCTCGCGGTTGTGTGTGCACAAAATTAACAGTGTATCAAAACGAAGAATGAGAAATGCACGAATTATAGGGTGACAGGGTCTCATATCTTCGTCGCTATTCTATTTGGTAGTAATGTAGCTATGCATAAGTGTGTAATTAAATATAAGAAATGCTAAGGATTGCTAACATCTTAACGTAGGCAGGGCCGGACTGGACCTACCAAACGGCCCGGTCGATTTTGGTAAACCGGCCCACTACCACACCAGATCTACCAATATAAGGGAAAAAAATTTCTTTGATTCAAAGTTAAAACTCACAGACAGCGTGTGGCTTTTGTGATACACGCGTTCCGGCTGAGCGGTCCTTCCGGGAATCTACTACCGCGCTGCTTCCCGGTTGTGACACGACGGGCTTGTTGAGCGACAAGACCGCGGCCCCGGGCCTCGAACTAGCACCGGCCCATCGGGCAATTGCCCAGTCTGACCCTGAACGTAGGTATCCATTGCTGTCTAGTGATGAGTCAAATTTCCATTATGGGTGTTGTCAGGGCCGGCTCAAGGCAAAAGTTACGTGTAAGCAAGGTTTTCGCCTCTAAGCGAGTAACTTTAGCGCATTTTCCATGAATTCATCAGTACTTCCGGACAGGTCATACAACGGACTGTTTGTGTGTACAAAGGAAAATAAGTTATGGCATAAATATTCTTGTAAATAAGAAACTTAAGATTGCGTAGTCTGCGCATGCACACACCTGATGTTTAAAGTATGCGATATGCTTGCCTTTAAGCATCTGTGGTTAAAATTTTAAAGAAATATCTCCATAAATAAGAAAATTGACATCGTGAAGTTTTTGTTATACAGGGTGGCAAAGTTTCAATTCTGTTCTCCCTGTTATGTTTTGGGATAATTGTTTCAAATTTGATAGATTAATTATTTTTTAGAATCTCTACAATAAAGTATCAAAATAGTTGGTCGCAATATACAGGGTGTTGCATTTTGCATCTTTGTCACCTTGTATAACGAAAACGACGGCTTTTAGGTCATGCATATACAGGGTGAGTTTTTTTCATTTTAAGCATTAGGATCTCGGAAACCGTAAGACATAGAGATTCGGTTAAATGAGGAAAGAGTTGCAGTTTTAAGAGCATATTCAAGATATGCTTTTGTTTTTTAAAAAAATCCACAGTTTACTAGATATGAGCGAAAAACAGATTTAGTGATTTTTCATTTAACTGTTGTAGAATCATTATATATAGAAATACAGAAATATGCAAAGAACAGAAAGTGTAGATTTTTTTCCGCTTAATAAGATACATTTATTAATATTTATTCTTCTTTTATAATTTTCGAGTTATAAAGCAAACTTACATTTTTTTAAATGGTAATCATAGTTGGCTGTGACATTTTTAAAAAAAGCATTTTTTTTCTGTTTACAATGATATAAGAATCATTGTACTTACTTCGACAAATAAACATGATAAAGAACTGTTTGTATTATTAAGAGTAGTAAAAACAGATTTTGCCATGGTATAACAGTTTGTTTCGTTCCCTATGTTTCTTCCGTATGTATGGTTGGTTGCCTGTTAGAATAGAGTACAGATTCAGTATTTAAATTTTAAAAACCAGTATTGTCCTTGTCCTTGTGATAAAATTCCTTTACCTTTTATCTTCTTTTCCGGTCACTTTTGATTCTGGCATGGTCGTGTCCAGTGTGCCAATCTTCATTTGTGTAAAAATTTCATCTTAATTAATTATAAGGATCTTCACACATTGAAGTAAATATTTTCTAATTGTTACCCAATTTTGGAGACGTTTTTGGTTCTCATGGTAATATTTTTGGAGTTTCGCCAAGCGGATTTTGGAAGCACATTGGTCATCGGCTTGATACTTTGGCTCGTTTACGATCTTTAGAGGTTTGTACATCTTGTTTTGTTATTCCCAGCCCTTATTGGTAAACTATTATTTTTAGCCGATTTTTACTACCTACCAATTTGTACGTTTTTCGTCTCGTCCATCATTGTGAGGGAAACGCATAGCTTTACCATCGACATCAACCCGTATAAGGAGGAGCCCTGCGCCCCATTCATCGCAGAGCCATCACCGAGCATCCCCTACAAGTGCGTCCCTGTCGTTCTCTGCGTGGCGTCACCAACCCCAATTGTGGAACGGTATTCTACAACGAAAGGTCAGCTGTTTATTACTTGAACCTTCCCGACTACTTTGCAACGAACCATCGAATCCTGCATCCACGTAGAGACACCCTTGCCATTTTGTTCCCTTCCTCTCCTTACTTCCTTTCAGTTCCTTTGTTTTGTTGTAATTCGTGTTTTAATTTCAACAATTTATCACTGAACACTGGTCACGTAAAGTAAAATAAAAACATCGTTGTGCTGTTATTGGTTATGTATTACTTTAAAACCGACAACCCTTCTGGTTGGTCGGACGATTAGAACTACTTTTTTTGGTTGTGCCTACTGCACCGAATTATTGTTTTTGGTACGTTTATGATTGTTAGGCAGTTATCAAGGTAGCCTGTTGTTTTCTTTTTGGTTCTTAAAAAGGTAGAATGCCCGAGGTGAGGTACGTTTTTAGTAGCCCGTGAAAGAAAGGCCTTTGTTTTACCCCCGCACTAATTATTTTTGATTTTCATTTTAAACGCTCTTAGACCCCAAGCGTGAGGATCTAGCGGCACTTGCTACTGCAAGAGTTTATTTTATTTTCATTATTTGTACGTTTGGAACTTTAATCTAAAATTTTTATTAACCGTTCAAGATACAGCGATCCCTTGATATTATAGATATACAGATCTTTAAATTCTATGCATATCAGCAACTAATTTAATAAACGACCAGTTCACCCCCAATAGTTCTTTTTTTTTTTGGATTTACAGGTATGTGTTGTTGTGTGTCCTTTTATCTTTCAGGTTCTGCGTTTCCTGTAGGTATCTTCTTGCATTTCCAAACGTAGTGGCGCTACCCTAGTCAATCAGAACCACGCGAATATATCCCTGAAATCTGAACCGCCTCGCTCCTGCATCAGAGCTAGACCGGAGCAATACCGGCATTTCTTTTTGCGCCCAAATGAAACCGTTATAATGGGAAACATTTTTGTTCTCTTAAAATTACTGTCTATTATAATATTTAACTTGCAGTTAGTTGTGAGCAGGGTTGCCATCTCAAAACTCTACCACCTAGGACAGGAAGCGTGAAAACCCCGGATTTAGAGATTATAAACCCGAACATATCAACTGAATTTGATAGAAAATATTTTCTAAAGAAATAAAACAAACAATTAATTTTTCTAAATAAAACAAGGCGTACTCTAACACGAAATTAAATCTTTAACTGTTAGGAATCAGCAACGGCTTATCTTCATTTTTAAATTCTTTAAATGAAGCAATAGTATACTTTTTTAACAAAATAAAATAAATAATAGTTATAAGAAGCTAATAACAATAATTTTTAAATCAAACAAAAATTTGGTCTTTTAAAATACATACATACAAATCCAGGGTAGGTAAGACAATCTTAAGTAAAGGCGTAAGTTGTTATTCCCAATAAAAAGATGTACCTACAGCGTCAGCCTGAAGGTTCTGGTCCACATTGTGTGAGACTCCCCTGAAAGTGCAGACTTTCCACGACGCGCGTTCCATATACCGCATGATATGGTGCAGCTCCAACTGAATCCTCTCGCTTCTACGCGCCCGAGATGGGCAAAAAGTACCATCATCATGACGAAAGTAGAAATCATAACAATACTCGCATCTGTCAATCAAATTAGGAATTTAATCAGGCCAAGAGTGGACTTTCAAAGTTGCTTTTTTCGATTTTAATAACCCTTATGGACATTTCAAGAATACAAATATGAAATAATTTTTAATTTCTGATCGAATGACAATACCAAATCTGTAAGTGGTGTAGTTGCTTTTGTGATTGAAAAATTCATTTCGAACTATCTAACGTTTACCACTTCTTCCCATTTAAAATTTTTCGGGTGTAATTCACCCCCTTCTGAAGGTTAAAGTCGTATTATTTAATTTAGGTGTCCCCTTCAAAACTAAAGTTGACATGTTCAAGCGTTTCAAGTAAAACTGCCGTTAAGTGGACAAAGTTGGCATTGACTGTTTTCAGTGGGCCACCCTGTATTTGTAGAACAAGCTTTTCTGTCTGATTGTTATGAAAAAATTCTCTTCTTTTTCAAACTGTGCAAGATGCTCACAATTTTCCCGCTATAGTGTAATGCCCCTGCCAAGAACTATACTACAGGAGAGTATGTCTTTGCTTTCACGTACACATACAATGTATTCGGACTGAGTAGTGAGGCTATCATAAGTAAAAGCTTAAATCATACATTTTTTATTAAAATAAATAATCTTAAAATACAAATAAATAATGGCTGCACAAATACTGATTTTGCGTTACTCCCAATAAAAAGATGTACAGCGGCAGCCTGAAGGTTCTGGACCACATTGCGTAAGACTTCCAGAAAATGCGGACTTTCCACGGCAAGCGTTCCATATTCCACAGGATATGGTGCAGCCCAAACTAAATCCTCCCGCTTCCACGGTGCCAAGATGAGCGACGAGGACCATCATCATCACGAAAGCCGAAATTACAACAATCTTCTGTTAAAACAAAGTTTTATGTTAATTATAAAAGGTTTAGAACAATTGGGTGTTATCGTCTTACCTTCATGTTGATTGCTAAATGGTGATAGCTCCTTAAACGATTGCGAATAACTGATATTTAGTGTTCAGGATTTGATGCTTTTATATCAAGCAATAAAGTGACGTACTTTGATAATTTGCTAATATAATTTCTCTTTATAAGATGTAAATAAGTACATCCCCGCTATCTTTCGTTTAGTAACGCTATCGCTTGACCTGTTCACTTTTTTAGTTTCACATGTTCTAAAGGTACACGGGGAATTACTTATTCTTATTCAGTATCGACAATTGACACGAAAAGAGGGCTAAATGGATTTTTTAATTACAGGACGGCTGTATAGTCCAGTCAATTTGTACTTTCTGATTACAAAAGTTCCGGCAGAAGTTTTATTTTTCCGACTTGTTTAAATGGTAAAGAGAGAGAACAATCTAAGTTTGCCAATTCGGCTGACGTCGGGAAAAATTTTTGTGGTCAAAAATCTGCAAAAATTTCTGCCCTTTTTAGATTTTTCTCAAATAACCCGCCAACGGCAATACTTAGGTAAAATCATCATTATTAAAAACTGTAGTGTATAAAAGTTTAATTTGATATTTTATTTGGCCCCCTAACATGTGGGTATAGTTTAGGAGATACACTAATTTAAAGTTTCGTGTTTATAGTAATTTTTGAAAATAAACCATCACGATCGAGGAGGAAGACTATGATTGGTAAAAGGTAATTCCTTTTGGGGTGGTAGAGGAGATGAAAACAAGCACTTTTTCCAACGTATCTCGATTGGAAGCAACCTTTAAAAATTTGCAAAAATTTGCATTTTTAAAAAAATTTTTCCAATAGGTTTTTTGATAAGTACGCCGCTTTCGATATAGCAAAAATTTGTGCAAAATCCCTACCACGAATGAGTGCACCCCTAAATAGGGGTGAGAAAAAAATTCTGATTTTGACGAAATTTGGTATCTGGGGGTTTTAAACATGAAAATCACGAATCTGAAATTAGTGTTCTTGGGCGGACCACTAAAATGGAGACAATCATTATGCGGGCCACTCTGTAATTGGGCGCAACCCTGTTGAGGGCCCAGAATAAGAGATGGATAATAAATAAATAATAAATAAATTCGGGTAAAAAATATGCAATAAAAGTGGTGAAGAGAAACTGCTGGAAATTATGCAACAGTCATCACTCATCAGTCATGATCAAATATACAATTTTTATTTTTTTGTCTCCGGATTTTGGTTTATTGGTTTTATCGGCGATTTTTTTATAATATAAAATGATTTTAAGACTTAATATTTATTATATTTCTAAAACGAACGTAAGACTATTTCTCTAATTACTAAAACAATTTTTAGGGCTTGTTAAACTATAACTATTTTTAACACAGTTGAACTCGAAATAAACGCCTTCAAATTTTAAGACATAAAGCGGCGTTCTTTCGAAGTAAATCAAGAGTCTTAGATGTTTCGTTGTGGAACTACTCTCCCAAAGGTCCCAAAATTTACGTTCATTTTTGTTACTAAGAAATTTGGAAAGTAACTGATATTCCAAAAAAAAACATGTTTTACCTTTCCGTCTGATGTGATAACTGCAGTTAAAGAAATAAATAAAAAAACGTAAGTTTTTGTTTTGAGGACCACTTTCCGCAGTCAATCTGTTACCACCAAACAAGCAGTTGATTTAATATCAGAATAAAGTATTTTTCTTATGGAGTGTATTACTTTATTTATTTATTTATTTATTTATTTTGCCTTTATTTTTGAGTGGGCGGGGTTTCAGCCAAGGCTGCTCTACCAACCCAACACACTATACATTTACAAATATCCATGCCCGAACCCGGATTCGAACCAGGGACCCTAGCACCACAGTCCAGCTTCAACTGAACTGCGCCACACGGGCCGGAACTTTTGGGCTCGTAGCTCCCAAACGTTTATATGTCTGTTACTGCTCAACCTTTTTTCTGTATACTTACGCATTAGACTGTTTATAAATATACAAACAAGGTCCCCACTTTAATAAGGTTGACTTTCGCAACTACAGCTATAATTCAGCCCTGCAAAGAAAGTACCACTTGTACATTTACTTTTATCGCGTATAACATTGGGAAAGAACCCAGAAATCAATTGGAAGACAAACGTGGGTATGGTTTTCATTACCGGTTTAGTGAACACAAAAAGCAACAAGTTAAAAAGTAATCGTAAACGATTTACAAAAAGCGCATTTCCACTTGCATTCATTTCCCATTTGTAAGATGCAACTTCTGTTAAAATTGTAAAAATCCGGCCACAAATATGATAGATAGCGTTGCAAATGTGCAATCCATTTTTGACGTGCTACTTCAATTTCAGTTTATAAGAAGAATTTCATTTCAATGCTTTTCTAAATAAGAAAGTTGGAACTGCGCATGGGCAAATCTAAATTTTGAAACAAACGTTAGATTTTCCTTTGTTCCAAGCGCCTATGTATCAAATTTCATTTAAATGCTTCCATAAATAAAAAAGTTTGCACTGCGCATGCGCAAAACCAAATTTTGAAACTGGCGTTAGATTTTCATTTATTCCAAGTGCCTATGTATCAAATTTCATTCAAATACTTTTATAAATAAAAAAGTTTGCAATTCGGTTTATAAATGGTCGAGATGCGAAAAGGGCACTGTGAATTTTGAATCGATTCGACTCAACTTTTGACATTGCGTATTATATGACTAAAGCTATGCCCATATTGAATTTCATGCAATTCAGTTCATAACTAACGGAGATGTCAAGGCGATCGGACATTTCTAACCAAAGTTATCGTTCACACGGACAGATAGAGGGACAGACAGACAAACGAACAGACGGACAGATCAACAGACAGACGACAGACAGCAATACAAAATTATAAACGATCTCTAGGATCGTTAATAAACGGCAAAAGTGTAAAATTATGGAACATGTAAAAAACGGTTTCTGGTTTTTTTACAATAACTTTTTTAGCAATAAACGCAGAAAAAATTCCTTCCTTGGTGCAAGACGGACGGACAAAGTGGGCACCATAGCGCATTTTATTTTTATTTTTGTGGAAATGCGCTAAAAATACAGCTTGTTACAACTTGACGACCCGAGAGTAGGTAGCTCAAAAATAAAAACTGCGCTACATGATCTACACCAAAAATTCTTAAAAAAGGGGAGCATGAAAAACTTTTGGTTCTTAGTATTTTTTATCAAAATCTTACACTTTATCTTGCATTTGAAGCATTTCTGTCAACGTTTTATGAAATAAGTCTTTTTGTTTCTAATCAGTTAAGACGAAATCTTTCAAATTGTGCAGGATTGCTTTCACATAGATATTGTTTGCAAATTGAGAAAATTTTTATTAAAATAAATAATCTTAAATTACAAATAAATAATTGGTACAAAAATGTCGATTTTGCGTTACTCCCAATAAAAAGATGTACAGCGGCAGCCTGAAGGTTCTGGACCACATTGCGTAAGACTTCCAGAAAAAGCGGACTTTCCACGGCAAGCGTTCCATATTCCACAGGATATGGTGCAGCCCAAACTAAATCCTCCCGCTTCCACGGTGCCAAGATGAGCGACGAGGACCATCATCATCACGAAAGCCGAAATTACAACAATATTCTGTCAAGCAAAGATATATATGTTAATAATTATAAAATGTTTACAACAATTAGATATCGTCTTACCTTCATGTTAACTGCTAAATGTTGATAGCTCCTTATAGACGACTGCGAGAGTGATTGATATTTACTGTGCGGGATTCGATGCTTTTATATTAAACAAAGTGACGTAAATTTGATAATTTGATACAGACCCCCAGTTTCTATTTATAAGATAGTAAATAAGTATATCCCCGCTATCTTTCATTGAGTAACGTTTATTATCGAATGACCTGTCAAGTTTTTTAAGTTCATATTGTGCACATGTTCTAAAAGTACACGGGGAATTACTTATTTTACGGGACGGCTGTATAGCCGAGCTTGGGGCAATATCGGTCCTGAGAACACACGATATAATTATAACCATATGTCGGTAGGTTTTTGGAGTGCCATTATCTCTCTATATGAAATTATGAGTTATGACTATTAGAAATAATCAGAAGTTTTTGACCTTGGGGGACGTAGCCGACGAACAAAAGTGTTTTTGGGCTTTCAACTTACTTGTAAAAACGCTTTTTTTTGGCTTTACGTATGTATGTAAAAACCTCTACATCGGTATAGCGTTGGCCACAAGCAAATATTATCTATGAGTAATAACTAATAAGCCTATTGAAAATGGGTCAAATCCAATGATTCCTTGAGGCCATACCTCTCTGACTCTGCTAAACGCTTGACCTATTCGGTTCAAACTTTACGCAGTTGACCTATATCGCACATGTAACAAGCCTATTGAAAATTGGTCAAATCCAATGATCCCGTAAGGTTACACCGTAATAAAAAAAGGTTCCTTAACCCATGTATTTAAATTTTTTAGCTGTTAACTGTACACTTTTAGAGCTCATTGGTTCAATTTCCGCTAAATGGCTCCGTTTATAGGAATTTAAAAATTATGTCCTTGTTTTGTAAAATATATCTGGCATGTGCCTTGTTGAAAAACCTGAATTTTCAATCTGGGCTGGGTCTGACTTTCCTGGCACGATGGTTTCTTTTTCGCATATGTAACTTTTGATCCATAAAGCATCTAACATAATAGTAAACTTTGTTTTACAAAATATTAGCGTGCGTTTAATTTTATAGCGAAAATACATCAATAAATAACCTGGGTTTTGACTTTTTCTTTCGCCTAACTCTCCTTCAAAGACCCACGACCAACCAATTTATGGAAAAGAAGTCTAGTTCCACTTTTGTGCTCTGCCGCTCTTTTAAACCGGCAGTAGGGGCTTATTAAGGATCCTCAGATCCTTTATAGTTTTGTATTGTCGTCCGTCCGTCCGTCCGTCCGTCCGTCCGTCCGTGTGCGCTCTAACTCTTTTTAAAAGTGGCCGATTGTGTTGAAATTTGGTATACGGGAACGTTGGACATTAAGAACGGACGCTATTGATTTTCAGGAAGCTGGTTCAACAGGAACAAAAGTTATACGACTTCGAGTGAATCGGGAACAGGAAAAACTACGAACTCAATATAATAAAAATCAACATATTTCATTCCCTAGGTCATGTATCGAGTTCGGACTTTCGCTAGATTATTCCCTATGACTCTTAGATGTGTAACAATTCAATATAACTCTTCTCTGTGGTCTCGGTCAAAAGTTTTAGAGCAAAATGTACCCAAAATTATTCTTTACACATGAATTTAGAGTTGTAAAAGCTTTCAAACGCATTATCTTGATGCTGAAAGAGTTGATAACGTGTACGTTTGATAACCGCATGTGTGTGATTCAAAAATGTTAAATTATTTTTCTGAGGCCACATGGATTTTGATCAAAATATGTCAAAATCGTTAATTATGCACCAAGATCGTTGGGAAAAGACTAGGCGCATTATCTCAATGCCCAAGACATGAATTTGATGCATTTTTGTTAACTATAAAATGTATTTTGTAAGATTAAAATAAATTGTCGTTAAAAGTGATTGTAATACTGAGGATCCTTCGATATTTCGTTGTATCGGTTTATTATACTTGCAGATGAATAAATTTGCCCCAATTAAATAAAAAAAAAAGTAAGTATAACGTATCAATAAATTACCCTACAGTTTAAAATATTTACTACCAAAAAATTCCCGTAGGGACAATTGGCCGCCGGAACAACCAGGCGCCGGTATATCGTATAAATGAGCATATGGAAACTTGATGCCAACACAATCAGCCATGTGACTTATCAGTAACATCAAACTATTATCTGCCAAACAACGTTATTATGCGTTATTTAGTAAGTATGGCCAAGATAACGTTTTCTACAAATAACCTACACGTTAAGTTTAACGTTAGTGACACATCACAGGAATCAGTCCTGGATTGTGGTCAATTAGTCCATGTAAATCGTGTTCGAAGTTTATTTTAAAACAGATAGGCAGGTTCAACATTTTTTATTTTAACTGAAATCGAGAGATTTTGTTATTAAAAAAGGATTAAAAAAAATTTGGGTGTAAAATATTGGTATTTACGTCCACTGTAAGCACTTTAAAGTCAAGGCCGACGTGAAGCAAGAAAACGTACCTACGCGCAAGACTAGACCCGTGACGTCAGTAGCCAGAAACATTTGCGGCCGTGCTGGTAAAGTATACGAATTCACGTAAACTGGGACCGATTTATTTATTGTCTGCACGATGTTGCAAAGTTGTCAAAAAATGATTCGCGAAATTTACCCCATGTGAATGTGGAAATGGGTTTTTGCAGATGAATATGTCTACTTTAACGCCGATGCTCTGAGGTTCATTTAAAATTGCGTTATTAGGCAAAAACTCCATGTCCACATTCACATGGGGTAAATTTCGCGAATCATTTTTTAGACAATTTTGCAGCATTGTGTACATTTCTTGTTTCGTGCCGATCCTTTATTTTAATGTGGTTACAGCGGAAGTAAATATCATCATCAATATTTTTCACCCAATTTTTTTCTGATCGTTTTTTATAAACAAAATCTCTCGATTTTAGTTAAAATAAAACCAAAAATGTCGAACCTCCCTATTGCATCTGTAGCTTATCTGTAACAGCCACATCAGTTTTGAGCGGATAAATGACAATGTTGAAGGAGCTAATCGACCACCCATTTGAGCGTTACAATTCGCACTCGGAAAATACGCACCTAGTGTGACTGGTCTTGAACATTTTAAAATATTATGCACATTCCCTCGGATGTCACTGCAGAAGTATAGTATGCATCAATCTACGACAATTCCTTGTTATATTTTTCTTTATCTGGCTGTCTCATAAGAACTTTCTGTGCACGTCTCGTCGGGTACATATAGTCGCTTCCAAATCTTCTACGAAATCACGGTCTACGGACTACTATACCTTGTAAAATCTTTTTAGCTCTAACTTTTCTCGTATATGCAATTTCTTTTTTACATTCAGACAAAATCTTTTTGGACAAGTTGTGCAAGATGCCCACAGTTTTGCCACTGAGGCGTGATACCCTTACGAGGGATTTTACTCGAGGAGAGTTATGTCTCCACTTACAACAATGCTTTCGGATTAAGGTTAACACAAGTAAAAACTTAAATCACAACATTTTTATTAAAATAAATATTACTAAACTTAGGAATAAATAACAACTTCAAAAATACTGGTTTTGCATTACTCCCAATAAAAAGAAGTACAGCGGCAGCCTGAAGGTTCTGGACCACACTGCGTAAGACTTCCAGAAAAAGCGGACTTTCCACGGCAAGCGTTCCATATTCCACAGGATATGGTGCAGCCCAAACTAAACCCTCCCGCTTCCACGGTGCCAAGATGAGCGACGAGGACCATCATCATCACGAAAGCCGAAATTACAACAATATTCTGTTAAAACAAAGTTATATGTTAATTATAAAAGGTTTAGAACCATTGGATGTATCGTCTTACCTTCATGTTAGTTGCTAAATGTTGATCGCTCCTTAAACGATGGCGAATAACTGATAGTAACTATTCGGGATTCAATGTATTTATATATCAAGTAAAGTGACGTAAATCTGATAATTTGTTGCAGGCTACCAGTTTCTATTTATAAGATGTAAATAAGTACATCCCCGATATCTTTCAGTGTGTAAGCTATCGGTTGACCTGTCAACTTTTTTAATTTCACTGTGCAAATATTATAAGGGAATACGGGGAATTATTTATTCCTACTCAGTACCTACCTATCGACTCTTGACAAGAAAAGTTACTGAATGGATTTTTTAATTACAGGATGGCTGTAGCAGAGTTTGTGTCATTACCCGTGCCAGGGCCGAATTAAGGTTTGTCAGGGCCCTAGGCACAATGAAATTTTCGAGCCCCTTTTCATAAATTATAATAACTCGTGTTCCAGCACAGTTGTGTACTTTTTCGCATATACGTTACACCGTTCGTAGCTCCTTCTAAATATTAATTCAATTAACCGGGCAAAATTTTTTAATTGCAAATTTGGAGAAATACATAATTGTTAATTGTTTTTCCAATACCTAATTAGAGTTAGTTTCATCATAATCATGTTTTATTGAGGAATAAAGGTTTTTTTCTGTGGATGGTTGATTGTGCATTTGTTTGCCTACATTGCCCTTTTTTTCAGCTTAGTTTGCCCGTTTTGATGCATATAATAAGTGCTTATTTTATAAAAATAAATGCATTTTTATCCGCACTCTAGTCATTATTTAATATAGTATATAAATATAGTGCAAATTTTTAATGTAAAGAAATAAAGCAAAAAGTACCTGTACCTACCCCTACCTATATAGTGTAAAATTGTTGTGTTGTGTACTTTAAAATCTCACACGTTACGTTACGTGTCCTTAATTTTTCCGGGCCCCCATCCTTCCCGGGCCCTAGGCACCTGCCTAGTGTGCCTAATGGGTAATACGGCCCTGACCCGTGCTGAGAACACATTTCGTAGTAAGTAATATACTGGTATATCAAATTTCGTAGATTAGAACCCTTTCGGGGTGGGATTATCTCGGTATAAGAATTTTGAATATTAGAAATAATGCGTATATTTGGACCTCTTGGGCGGAAGCTCTCACCCCCCGCCTTATTTGTAAAAAAAATATGTGCTTGATAATAGAAATTCAAGTCCTTCACTTATGAATTAAGGCTTAGACTTTTTTAAATACAAGTAATAAACCGTCACGTAGGGTTTCAATAGCGGAAAAGTTCTAGTCAATGTAGGTACTAAATGAGGTTTACTATGATGCTTAGGTAGTGTCGTAGTATGTAAAACATTAACATCAATGTTCTCGATGTTTAGATTTGGTTTGAAGATTTCCGAAGAGTGTCATGCTACAGATTTTGGTAACCTAAGTCAGATTTGGACCGCGGATATCTTTGCTTATGAACAACTACATCATAAGCAGATGCTCCATAAACCTATTCAGAAAGTGATGGAGTTTTCCATTCGGTTTGAGAATACAGCGTGTGCTAGAATCTACGGTAGCGAGAGAGACATCGGGTCGCCAGCAGGCGCCATCGAGACGAGTCTATTGAGATTTGTGACCGGCGATAAGGGACGAAAGTGAATGATTTTGCGTTCGTCGCGTCATATAAATCTACGTGTTATAAATTTTAGTACAAGTGAGTGATAAACGATAATGTTCTGTTATAAATTAACTTATTCTCTAAGAGTCCCCAATTTGCGCTCCGTTTCTTGTGTAACTCATTTGCAATCACATTGTTTTGCGCTTACAAAACGCTCATATAGGAGACATATTCATTTTATATGTATTTTTTATATATATATGTAGGTATATTTTGATATATTTATTATTTAAACGTTTTTTTAATTTAACATTAAGTTTCGAAAGATCAAGTGGAGCAGGTTGTCACAAACGAAACGCAGTAAGTTGTCACTAGTAAAATAATCTAAAAGTGCTAAAAATCTGTCTTCTACCCAAAGACTAAGAAAAAAGAAATTTTATCAGATGAGGAAGACTGTCTTATTTGCGGAAAACTCTACAGAGTTTCAGTTGAAAGGTGATTAGGTGTACACCTTGCAAACAATGGGCACATAAAAGCTGTACTGATCTGTTTTATGTATGTCACCATTGTGAGTCAGACAGAAGATGATATGTAGAACTTCTTCGTAACTGTAATTTCTTTTTCTGAAAACAACCCTTTATTGATTTCTTATTTTCTTTATTTTTGTGATACTGTGACAATTTGCCCCAGCTAGGGGCAAGTTCTTACAAGAATTCTACTGAATCGTTGGCATCTAAAATTTCAAAAAATTTTAGGCAGTCTACATACCATCTGAGTATTTAGAGTAATTTTGGTTCAAAAATATTAAAAGGCGTCCGAGTGCAAGATGCTCACAGTTTTACCGCTTTAGCGTAATGCTCGTACCAAGGACTATACCTACTCTAGGAAAGTATGTGTTTACTTTCATGTACAATGTATGCGGATTGAGGCTATCATAAGTGAAAACTTAAATCATAGATTTTTTATTAAAATAAATAGTCTTAAAATACAAATAGATAATGGTTGCAAAAATACTGATTTTGCGTTACTCCCAATAAAAAGAAGTACAGCGACAACCTGAAGGTTCTGGTCCACATTGGGTGAGGCTTCCAGAAAAAGCGGACTTTCCACGGCAAGCGTTCCATATTCCACAGGACATGGTGCAGCCCAAACTAAATCCTCTCGCTTCCACGGTGCCAAGATGAGCGACGAGGACCATCATCATCACGAAAGCCGAAATTACAACAATATTCTGTCAAGCAAAAATATATATTAATTATAACATGTTTAGAACAATTAGATTTCGTCTTACCTTCATGTTAACTGCTAAATGTTGATCGTTCGTTAAAGACGATTGCGAGTGACTGATGTTTAGTGTGCGGGATTCGATGCTTTTATATTAAATAAAGTGACGTAAATTGGAGACGGACCCCCAGTATCTATTTATAAGACAGTAAATAAGTACATCCCCGCTATCTTTCATTGAGAAACGCTTATCGAATGACCTGTCAACTTTTTTAGGTTCATTGTGTAGATGTTCTAAAAGTACACGGGGAATCATTTATTCTTACCCCGTACCGACTATCGAAATAAAAATATTTTAGAGAACGGCTGTATAGCCGAGCTTGGGGCAATATCCGTGGTGAGAAAACGCGCTATAACAATACGTCGGTAGGTACTCCTATATCAAATTTTGTAGGAAACAGGATTTATTGGAGTGTCATTATGAGTTATGACTATTAGAAATAATCAGAATGTTTTGACCTTGGAGGACGTAGCCCACGATCATAGCGTTTTTGGACCCTCAACTTGTAAAAAAATGTTTGTTTGGTAGTAGGGATACGAGTTCTTCATGTATCTATGTACAGTGAGTTTTTTTTAAATGCGAACATAGGAGTTTGCATGCAATGTAATTTCCCTATGTTCGATTTAAAAAAAACACATCAATCTATGAGGTGTGCGCTGTTCACATTCCCAAAACGCACAATTTGTGTGACTATGAACAGCAACTCATAGTCTTTATGATGAAGAGCACTCGGTAAGATTTTTTTAAATAAGCCATGTGAGGCCATAGCAACTTTAGGATAAATTTTTCTTAAACTTACGATAACTTGACTTCACATGGCACGCGCTGACATCACAATTCATTGTAAACCACCTTCAATTATTTGTAGGTCATGTGCACCTGGTATTCTACTAATTTGATTTATTCAATACATAAATTAAGAAAATAAGAAAATAAGTAACGAAAACAATTACAATAGATGTTCGAAGTGTCCTCCTTGACATTCTAAGCAATAACCTAACCGATTTCGTAATTAAATTGGACGGCTGTCAATTGTATCTACTACTCATTTGAACTACTCAATAGATTGATGTGTTTTTTTTTAAATCGAACATAGGGAAATTACATTGCATACAAACTTCTATGTTCGCATTTTAAAAAAATTCACTGTATGTAAACACCTCAAAGGTCGCGAAAATCGGTTTTTAGCAAATATTATCTATAAAAATGATCCGTCTACAACACTGAAGTACCAGCGACTGGATGCAAATAGATAATTATTATTTTTGGAGATGAATAAATTTGCCCCAATTAAATAAAACAAGTATAAATTGTGCACAACTCTTGTGCAGATAAAGCGCATTTTTTAACCGAAATAGCTTTTTGTTTTGACATCACCAATGGATATATTTCTTGCAGACGTCTCAATCGCCTTTTGTGAGTACCCTCTTCCGACAATCCGTTCTTGAGGTATAAGGGAATATACCCGATCACGATAAGAGGCCGAGGAGGAGGGCTATGGTTGGTAGAAATTAATTCCTTTCGTTGAGACCTTTCATTAGGGTACCATGAAGGATAAAACTAGTTCTACTCCCCCCCCCCCCTCCACCCCGTACTTTGATAAGAGGACAGAAAGAAGGGCAGTAGTTGGTAGAAAACAGTTCCTTTCGTTGAGACCTTTAATTAGAATACAATGAGAGATAAAATTAATTTTTAACCCCCCCTCCCCCTCCAGGCTCCGTCGCTCACTGATCGCGTAAAAGAGTCGCACGATAAAGTTATAGTTTGTACAAGCCAATTTATTTCGATGAGATCTTTCATTAGAATACCATGAAGGGTAGAACACATGTTTACCCCCCATTTTCTAAAGTTTAACTAATTGGTACCACTAAAGGCATGCGTATGCAAAATCTGAGACCAATTGGTTGTCGTATGTAAAAATTATGCACGTTTTACTTTCAAAAACAGCATCTTAGGAAATAATTTGTGGGAGGGGGGGGGCCCTTTAGACAGCGAGATTTGATGCCCGTCTGGCACACCTTCAAGGTACAGGCTACCTACTGCAAAAAATTCCAGGACTCTAGGGCCATGCCCCTAGAAGTATTTCGCAACGGCAGAAGTGGGTCCGGACGGACGGACAAAACGCAAACAATAGCACATTTTTTTAATTCTTAAAAAAAGCGCTAAAAACAAATAGGTATATAAGTTTTTCAAATGCGTAGCAGTAACCAATCAATAAATAACCTTACGGTTTATAATATTTACTACAAAAAA